GAATTATAAATACTCGAATGTTGTTGGGCATTGTAACTCAATTTGCGCGACATAAATTTCATCGTTTAAAAGGCTATTATTAAACTTCCAAAATTCGGGACCTCTTCCACAATCAGGAATTTCAAAGGTCATAAGAATCATGCTATGATCAGTACGAATGCTTGGCATAATATTACAACTTTTGACTGAGTTTTGTAACTGTTCTGGTGACCATTAAAGTAATCTAATCGTGAACCCAAATTTTCTTTATTACTTGGTACATGTATGCAGGGTCAATGGATTGACTTCCATGAGATGTGTAACAAGGTGGTAATAATTGTAATTGTCATGGCAACAGCCAATTAAACTATGTTTGTGATATGGTAAAAACATCATGGAAATCTAATAACAATGGCAAATATTTACCATCTCACAGCATAGCAAGTTTGACCATTAGGTTGCTAGTTTTCAGTTCAGTTTTCTCTTCTGCACTGATCCACTGGCAACTACTGTAAAATACTTTCGCTGAATATTAATTTTCGCAGTAAAGACTTTTTAGGTATTTTGTGTGTGATTTATTTTCACTGATATTTGACAAGTTGAATGTAAAATATATGAAAATAGGTATATTCGCTGTATTTTATTTTCACTGACTCATTCCTTAAGTGAAAATAGCAAAAGTATTTTACAGTATCCAAAAAATGTCTTGTTCCTGAATATGTATCCTAAATATTTACAAAAGTAATTATTCAATCACTCAAGCTAATCTTTTAATAACAACACGAAAAGGTGGTTATTGTGCTGTGCATGTGCGACATTTGTGTTGATAAATATTGATTTTCCCACAATCCAATGCGTTCTTCAAATGGAAACCACAAGTACATGTATGAGGGTTGACCTGGTCGTGACTGAATACTGCCCTTCGATACCTTCCAATCACCTAAAATTACGTAATTAAAGCTTGGAAACATCTGTTTGTACTTGTTGATCTGCGCAATAGTCAAAGTCGCCATCTTATATGAGACCCATATATCTCGCGCATGTGGGGCGCGACGACTACTGTCCTTTAAGTTCTTTCAATTTGCATTGTTAAATATGACTGGTTCCTTGTTTTACTCAATTTCCCACTTTTTTATATTGACAGCTAGCTATGGCAGGCCAAGATGTACCAAGCAGTATATCACAATCAGATCACAATGGGTACTATCAAAACTTCTTGGAAAGTAAGTTCAAGCTCAGTAAATGGAAATCCAATCATGTTGCAATGAAGAGAAAATCTACCACCATTCTCGAACATGAATTAAGAAAAGTTACATGTTCTGACGATTGTTTGGATAAACAGCAGCGAAAGAGTGGATATGACAGTGGTCTTGAAAAATGGCAGCAAGGGAGTGTAAATGACAATGGACTTGAAAAATGGCAGCGAGGGAGTGGAAATGACAATGGACTTGAAAAATGGCAGCGAGGGAGTGGATATGACAGTGGTCTTGAAAAATGGCATCAAGGGAGTGGAAATGACAGTGGACTTGAAAAATGGCAGCGAGGGAGTGGAAATGACAATGGACTTGAAAAATGGCAGCGAGGGAGTGGAAATGACAGTGGACTTGAAAAATGGCAGCGAGGGAGTGGAAATGACAGTGGTCTTGAAAAATGGCAGCGAGGGAGTGTGAATGACAGTGGTCTTGAAAAATGGCAGCGAGGGAGTGTAAATGACAGTGGTCTTGAAAAATGGCAGCGAGGGAGTGTAAATGACAGTGGTCTTGAAAAATGGCAGCGAGGGAGTGGAAATGACAGTGGTCTTGAAAAATGGCAGCGAGGGAGTGTAAATGACAGTGGTCTTGAAAAATGGCAGCGAGGGAGTGTAAATGACAGTGGTCTTGAAAAATGGCAGCGAGGGAATGGAAATGACAATGGACTTGAAAAATGGCAGCGAGGGAGTGGATATGACAATGGTCCTCAGAAACAGCAGCTAGGAAGTGGGTATGAAAAAGGTCTTGAAAAATGGCAGCGAGGGAATGGAAATGACAATGGACTTGAAAAATGGCAGCGAGGGAGTGGATATGACAATGGTCCTCAGAAACTGCAGCTAGGAAGTGGGTATGAAAAAGGTCTTGACAAATGGCAGCTGGGGAGTTTAAATGGCAATGGTCTTAAGAGATGCCAGAAAATTGAAAATAGAAATGGTCTTGAGAATCAGCAACTAAGAGTTGGCCATAGAAATTACTCTATTAATAAACAGCATCTGAAAAGTACATGCATGTATGAGCAGGATCAACAGCAGGAACATAACATCGATTTAAGCCTGCATTCGGGTAAAGACTTTCTAAATGTAATAAGACCATCTTCTGGGATTATTAGTTCTGTTACAGAAAGACATACTACATGTATGTATACCCCACAATTTCCATATGCAAATTCTGCATTTGCTCGTCGTGAAATGCTGCATGAGAATCAAGTAAGGAATACTGGTCCAGTGAACTTTGACCCAAGAATACAAAATCTGCCTCTTCTTCACCAAAATGGAATGTCATCTCACTATGTCCCAGACAAATCTGATGAAAACCCCAACCCTACTCGGGGCAATAGCAATGGAGTTCATCATTTAAACACCGACGCAGTGAAACTACGTCATCAACCAAAGCATCCAAATGCTAGACCATATAGTCAACTAAATCACCCATATCGCAGACCTCCCAGTTCGAATCATGGTTTCAAGCCACATAGAGCCCCAATTTACATGCCATTGGTGAACCAAAGAATTCAAGTGCCTTCTTGGTGTCCTGTACCCTGGGCTAACTCCTTTAGCACCAGTCAGTTTCACTCACAACATGAAAGGAGTATTAATTCAAATCAGAAATATCAGGCAGAGGCGCAAATAAAACAATATCCAAGAACTTTGGATATAGGGCAACCAAACAAAACTCCTAATGTAAGTGCTGCTGGATACTCCTCTATAATGCTCCCAGAGGAAGATACATACAAATACACTCATAAACAACTGACAGTACATGAACACATGATAAATACTGACAAGAAGCCAGCTGATGAACATCAGACCTCCCCTGTTACAGTGGAAATTGCATTACAGAGAACCAGGGCTAAGCTACAGCAATTGCGGGAGTTAAAGAACCAATCTTCTGGAAACTATGAACGTTGCAATAGTCTTGGGCAGATACAAATAATTAATGTAGTAAGCTTGAAACCTTATCTTGGTGAAATTGATAAAATGGAACTGATGTCATCAAATGATAACTTGAACACAACAAGCAGTTGTAATACAGATGCCTGTAAGTCCAGAAATTCTCTTGTAGATACAATGCCCAATGAAAGTGGTCAGTGTTTTTCTGACTTCAGTTCTGATGCCAATTCTTTATCTTCTGTTGGAAGTTGTGCAACTTCTGACAATGTAGCAACACATAGTAACAGCCATTTTGCTGAAAACTTGACTATGCAGAATAATGATGTAGCAACACTTAATAGCAGTCATCTCACTGGAAACTTGATTACACAGAATAGTGATGTCGCAACACCTAATAGCAGTCATCTCACTGGAAACTTGATTACGCAGAACATTGATGTTGCAACACCTAATAGCAGTCATCTCACTGGAAACTTGATCACGCAGAATAATGATGTGGCAACACCTAATAGCAGTCATCTCACTGGAAACTTGATCACGCAGAGTAATGATGTAGCAACACTTAATAGCAGTCATCTCACTGGAAACTTGATCACGCAGATTAACGATGTAGCAACACCTAATAGCAGTCATCTCACTGGAAACTTGACTATGCAGAAAAACAATGTGGCAACACCTAATAGCAGTCATCTCACTGGAAACTTTATTACAAGAACTGACAATGTAGCAACACATAGTAACAGCCATTTTGCTGAAAACTTGACTATGCAGAATAATGATGTAGCAACACTTAATAGCAGTCATCTCACAGGAAACTTGATCACGCAGAATAACGATGTAGCAACACCTAATAGCAGTCATCTCACAGGAAACTTGATCATGCAGAATAACGATGTAGCAACACCTAATAGCAGTCATCTCACAGGAAACTTTATTACACAGAATAACGATGTAGCAACACCTAATAGGAGTCATCTCACTGGAAACTTGATCACGCAGAGTAACGATGTGGCAACATGTGATAGCAGTCATCTCACAGGAAACTTGATCACGCAGAATAACGATGTAGCAACACCTAATAGCAGTCATCTCATAGGAAACTTTATTACACAGAATAACGATGTGGCAACCTGTGATAGCAGTCATCTCACAGGAAACTTGATCACGCAGAATAACGATGTAGCAACACCTAATAGCAGTCATCTCACTGGAAACTTGATCACGCAGAGTAACGATGTGGCAACATGTGATAGCAGTCATCTCACTGGAAACTTGACTATGCAGAAAAACAATGTAGCAACACCTAATAGCAGTCATCTCACAGGAAACTTGATCACGCAGACTAACGATGTGGCAACCTGTGATAGCCGTTTCTCGGATCTAGGTCAAAATGCCAAACTGAATACAAGGGATTTCAAACCATTTGAACAATTACCAATCAAAAAAGAGTTTATTGAAGTGACTGGTAGCAGTGATAATAAGAACAATGAATCTATGGATATTTTAATTACAAATATTGTATCCTGTGAAATGGTACCTGCTGAATTCACTGTGAAAGAGAAGTTGAATTATGAGTCGTATATTAAGACTCATGGTCAAGAAAGTCTGAGTGATGAATCATTAATAACAGTAAGTAGCCCTTTGCATATGACCAACGAAAAGTGTAATAATAAAGTGGAACCTAAAGAAATGAGTCATTTGGCCAACTCTGATGAAACCTTTAATGAGATTAGAGCAGTGCAGATCACAGAAGAAGAGTTTAGTAAAATAGGCAGCGTGGAGGATTCTACAGAGAGAAATCTGTTTGCCAACCCTGGTGAAACTTTTAGTGAGATTAAAGCAGTACATATCACAGAAGAAGAATTTAACAGAATGGGCAGTGTACACCCAGTATGTGATGGATTGGAACTGAATGTGTTAAACTCTGATAAGTGTTCTAAGGAGAATAGCACATCACCAGCACAAGGGCATTTTGAAGAATTTGGCCAGCTAACTGTTAGAATGAACTTTATTGAACAATTTGATGGCAAAAGTGAAATGCCAGTATTAACACCAGAGTTGTCAGTTTTCAACTGTAAATACGACACATCAGTAGATTCAACTGATATGCCAATACTAGAGTGTGAAATGCTTGATTCAGTTGGCTCCTCTAACACTACAAGTTTAGTAGAACCACATGGTTCTAAATTAGTATTAGATGGACCATCAGTGGTAAGCACAACTGGAAAGGAAGAATCAAACATAGTGGAAGCGTCCATGGTAGGTGAATCCTCCCAAGAATCTAGTCACAAAGTTGATGCTGGACCAGCCACACTGCAGTATATGAATTGTGAAACTAAACATAACTCTCCTTTGCAAGGAGTGAGTACCGGTACTTGTCTTGCCATTGAACCTTGTGAATCAGCTCAACACTCTGATAATGATTGTACCAATAAATCTAGTGATCTGGAGATTGCAGCCACTTGCCATGAACAACACAGGTTCAAAGATGTTACAGTCACTGATTACAATCACAATCTATCTAACAAAGATACAGTTCTTGTGCTATCAGTGGAAGAAAGTAATTCGCAAAAGCCAAGCATGGATAAATCCCATTCTTATGTCAAAGATTTCCCTTCAAAACAAGAATTTATGAAAAGTTTTGTTGTGCAAGATTTATCAAAACTCAACCGAACTGAATCTGTGGCTGAATATTTGAGTTCAGGAAAAAACAATTCCATTTTACCACTACTACATTTCCCAATCTCTACTCATGTGAAGTGGAAGAAAATTTCAGTGCTAAATAAGATGCATATACTTCCATGCATTCTGTATGGGAATCAAACCTATTGTTTGCAAAAACTGATCATAGATGTCTTCTTTTCATATGTGGCCTCAAATCCTCATAATCTGTTCAACCTATTTGTTAAATGTCTCAAAATCCATGAAGGAATTTATGCAGAAGGCAGTCAGGCAATATATTGTGAATTATTACCAGCGTCTTATCGCAAGCACAAAGATGTCATCAATGTTGGAGACGTAGAACAGCATGCACTACTTTTATCTCACCTCTGTAATCCTAATACATGTATCCCAAGATGTTTACGAAACTTTGAAATTCCAAGCATTGAACGTGGTGGGATTATTATGATGCCTACCTTATTAGTCAAGCAGACTGCATTTCCTGAAGTGAAAGTTCGTACATTCAGGGCTTCTCTCCATGGTCTAGGTGTTCTTGAACGATCAATGTCTCTGCATGAACAACAATATTTGCAAGCTGTAGCATGTTCAAATGTTGGTACCAAATTGGTCCCTCTTTTAGATGTATTGATACACTTTGATGAATTGACTGCCATGTAGTGGATTTTACTTTATAATATCTACTTAACCTTTTTACCACCATTTCTCTCTTTTCATCACAAGTCCTGTTTATAGTCTGCACTTTCTGTCAGAAGATAGGAACAAAAATAGCCAAATTTTTTGAATAAAAACTGCAAATTGACTTAAATTCGGTCTGTTTCATATTGAAAAATATATGAAAAAAGTGCAGACAAATTTGGATGAGAAAGTCTGGTGGTGAAAGGGTCAATCCTTCAATGCGGTCACAGACTTGCATTCCATACACCACAGCAAAACACTTTTATTTTAATCGAACAAACTTTTGGGAAGAATCCAAAATTTCTAGTTACGAGTTAACACTGAGGGCGCTGTTCAAAATCAATGATGCCATACCAGTGCAGGGTTCATTCAATGTTAATTTACCTTCTATTGCATTTATTGTATGCTAGATTATTAAAATAAACCATTTATATATCTCTATTATTTATGTAAGCACATGCACTACTAATCACAAATGCACTATGTTCTTTTCAGCAGATATTTTTGTACCAAGTTAATTCTGTTTAGTTGGCATGAAAATTTACAAAATGTATTTCTGTTCATAATAGAGTTGGATAAAAATCATTTTTAGGTAATTTTTACATCTTGATATCTGTAGATACTTTATATTTCTGAGGGACAACAAGCAAGTGTGTCTATTTGACTGGATGCTGTATAATCTCAGATTTGTTTTACAGAATTAGTAATTTACTGTATATTCATATGTGTAACAACCCCCCCCCCCCCCCCATTTTTATTTTATGTGTATCTTATTAGTCCCTGAACTAGGACTTGTAGTTTAGTCTTGTGTGTGTGTGTGTGGGTGCGTGCGTTTGCGTGTACATCCAAGACTGTATCTCGGCAATACCTTGACCGTTTCTCTTCAAACCTTGTATCTACTTGACATCTGGTGCAATACATATGCTAGACTGGCAAAGTCGGGACTTCTTTTTTGTTTTGGTTGCAAGATTAATCATTATGTGTAGTTGATGCATGTCACTCTTATTTGAAAATTCAACTCGGGCTAGCCAACTGGCAGCCATTTTTCTGTTCCATGCATGCATGAGTATCTTGCACATGATTCAAACATTATACCTAGATTGAAATAATGACCCACATAAAATAATTTGGTTATACATGATCAAAAATGACGTACTACTGACTAAAATCTGGTGTATTGACATGTCAAGAACCCGATTATGTGTTTTCTTCAAAATTTGTAGGAGTAGCCATAACTAGAGGTTGAAGCACGTCACTTTGATTTGTAAAGTCTTTGTCCTTTTTAAACAATATTCAATGTAATTCTGTCACAATCTATATATTCTCTGCTCTTTTATACATTTTTTTTTTCAACGCTTACTCCATAGTGCTATTAGTAAATTTCATGCATGTTTTAAAAATAATCTATATTGTATAATTTTCTTGACTTTTTCTGATCAGTGTACAATCATAGCTTTTTGTACATGTATGTAGTGGAAAAAACACTTTTCTGCATTGGGCAGTCATTTTTATGGAACTTTTTAAGAATTTCTTTTCATGATGATGTAGCAATAACTAATAACATTCCTTTTGCCCATTAATATATTCATTTAACCTTTTAAACTTTGTATTTATTTTTTACAATATTTGTTACAAAAATAAAGTGTCTAGTTATTTTAGAGCTGCAGTGTCCAAAGTCTTCAACTGTGACCTGTCTGATAGTAATTTTGGCCCCAAGGAAGCCATAGAATGCTCCATTTAGATTCAGAATTATCAAAAACTCCACACCCTGGTAGGGAGAACCCTATCTCCCCAAGCTGATTAAAATCCGATGTAGGTATGAGGCTTCAATTTTTTTTTTCATGACTCTTTATATTATATTTATTAGCTCCGCTGTCGACACAGCGAAGCTGTTCATATTACTGATTGTCCGGTGTTGTCAACTTTACAATTTCAACTTCTTCTTCAAAACTGCAAGTCAGAATGTTTTCAAATTTAATATGCAAGTACCTAGGTTGGTTCTTTCTCAAATTTGTTCATTTCATGTCAAAATCTCAAATTCTCTATTTTTTGGTGAATATTTTTGTCACTTTTTTGGGTAAAAAGGTGATATTTTTGACTTCTTGTAAAAAAACGCAAGTCCGATTACTTTGATATTACATATATAGGTACTACATGTTGACCTCTCTCAGATTTGTTCATTTCATAATGATATCTTCAATTTTCTAATTTTGATGAATATTTTTGGTGAAAAGTGATATTTTCGACTTCTTGTTAAAAACAGCAAGTCCAGTTGCTTTGATACTATATATATTGTTCATTTTCTAATGATATCTTTAGTTCTTAATTAAAATGTGCATTGCT